AAGAAAGAAAGAAAGAAAGAAAGAAAGAAAGAAAGATAGAAAGAAAGAAAGAAAGAAAGAAAGAAAGAAAGAAAGAAAGAAAGAAAGAAAGAAAGGCTGGATGGGAGGGAGGGAGGAAGAAAAGAGTGGATGGATGGAAGTAAGGGAAGAAGGAAGACAGAGAGAGAAGGGGGTAAGGGAGGAAGGAAGGGTGGATGGATGGAAGGATGGGAGGAAGGAAGGAAGGGTGGATGGATGGGAGGAAGGAAGGAAGGGTGGATGGAAGGAAGGAAGGGAGGAAGGGAGGAAGGAAGGAAGGAAGGGAGGGAGGATGGAAGGAAGGGAGGAAGGAAGGGTGAATGGATGGAAGGAAGGAAGGGAGGGAGAATGGAAGGATGGGAGGAAGGAAGGAAGGGCCTCAGAGAAGGGGCATGAAGGAGGCGGGGGCAGGGTATTTGGGTTTGAGGTAGATCCTAGATTACACTTAAATTAAAATGATCTCATGCTTAAAATCATCTTCTCGCCCTTCTATTCGGGATCGTGGGACAAACACATGCTATTGGCTCTAAACAAAGTTTTCGGAAGTGCCGGGAGTCGAGAGAGAGGGCTGGGGAGAAGAACGTCAACCTCAAAGTACTAATTTGCCAATCATCTCCTTTGACAGGGGAAAGAAAGAAAGAAAGAAAGAAAGAAAGAAAGAAAATGTCTATATTCATCTTCTCGCCCTTCTATTCGGGATCGTGGGACAAACACATGCTATTGGCTCTAAACAAAGTTTTCGGAAGTGCCGGGAGTCGAGAGAGAGGGCTGGGGAGAAGAACGTCAACCTCAAAGTACTAATTTGCCAATCATCTCCTTTGACAGGGGAAAGAAAGAAAGAAAGAAAGAAAGAAAGAAAGAAAATGTCTATATATGTTAAATTACACACACATATCATAAAAGGCTGGATGGGAGGGAGGGAGGAAGAAAAGAGTGGATGGATGGAAGTAAGGGAAGAAGGAAGACAGAGAGAGAAGGGGGTAAGGGAGGAAGGAAGGGTGGATGGATGGAAGGATGGGAGGAAGGAAGGAAGGGTGGATGGATGGGAGGAAGGAAGGAAGGGTGGATGGAAGGAAGGAAGGGAGGAAGGGAGGAAGGAAGGAAGGAAGGGAGGGAGGATGGAAGGAAGGGAGGAAGGAAGGGTGAATGGATGGAAGGAAGGAAGGGAGGGAGAATGGAAGGATGGGAGGAAGGAAGGAAGGGTGGATGGAAGGAAGGAAGGGAGGAAGGAAGGAAGGGTGGGAGGATGGAAGGAAGCGAGGAAGGAAGCGAGGAAGGAAGCGAGGAAGGAAGGGTGAATGGATGGAAGGAAGGGAGGAAGGGTGGATGGAAGGAAGGAAGGGGCTCTGCTAACCCATTTGATTGAAGGAAGCTTTCTTTGACAGTGTCCAACTCTAGACCTAGTGCTCTGCTCGAGGTGTTTCGAATCGGAGCCGGAAAGGGATGAGTCCCATTTGATCGCAGGCTGCCCGGTGAGAATGGGCATTAGCCGTGGCCAATAGCCCTGGGGGGGACAGGGTCCTGGCCAGGGAGGCTGAAACAGCGGAGCAGAAAGCGCAGGAGTGTACTGATCTGCCAGGATAGCGGGCACAACAAAAGCCCAGAAATCTCGAGTTTAAAACTCAAAGACAGAGTCCGGAAGAGTCTAGCGCGCCTGTGTGGAGGCGCCTTTATATAGATCCCTCCAGACTCATTGCCATTAAGGGAAGGTTCTTTAACTAATCCTCCACTCCCCTTTCGTCCTTCATTCTCACACTGGCTTTAAAAATCCCCACACACTTTGTTTCGGGCTTTTTTCTCAGATGTCTCTGTGACGGCGCGTTGGGGGTGGAGATTTATTCCTTTAATATACCAAAGGAAGAAGACATTTCCCAGTTTAAAAAAACCCTTGTAAATGATGTATGACAACAGCCTTGTCTGAGATGTCTCTTGTGGGAGAGGAGGAGATGTTAGGCCAGGATATTGGGCAGACTCCCTGTCTTGGAGCCACACTCACAGATAACAGACCTGGAGAGAAGGCCAGGAGTCCTGGCCCCGCTTGGTAGAATATTTCAGGGCCATCTGTTCCTTACCCCTCAGTGTGAAGTTTTTCTTCTCCCCCTAAAGCATTTGTGCTCACAATGTGAGGCCTTTTGATCTCCGAAAAGCACATTCTATTTTTTTTAAAGAAAGGGAGAAAAGAAACCTGAGGATTTTCTTACTTTCAACTCCATTTTGCTCTGTTACCCCAGAGCTGCTCCCAGCTGGAAGTGTGAAAGCCCTCCTCACTCCACTGCCAGTGGAAACTTGACTGACTAACAGTACCGTGGGGCTGGAAAGAGAAAAATCTCTCCTAAGGCAAAGCTTCTCATGCCCTGAAAATGAGAAGATGAAAGTTGAGAGCAGTTTCTTGTTCATCCAGCCCTCATATTTCACCCAGCAAGAACAAACAGGAGGAAAGGAGGAGCGCACATTCTTTCCCGGAAAAGAGGGCTTTTTTCATTATTTCCTGAAGCAAATCAGAGTTGATCTCTAGTTTAATTTCACTTCGTGTAACGTATACCATGATTCAGCAAGGCACCCATCCAGAGAAGGGCCAGCAATCCTCCTTAAGCATGTGTTTACTTTAACTAGCAGCACTCTACTGAAGTCAATGGGCTGCCCAAGTTCTTACAGTTAACTCCGGCCTTTGCTAAACAAGGGTGGATCCTCATGGTCCAAGAGGAGAGATGGGGGAGGTAATCTCTTGTCTTGGACCAGCTTCTGTTGGGTGAAACACCCGCTTTGGAGTTTACACAGAGCTCTTCTTCAGCTCTGGGAAACGAAGCAACTCCAATACTCTGGGACCAATAGGGTTCCAACAACACTGCCTTCATGCTCAAAGTTAAGCATCTGCTTACATGTTTTGCTGAACTAAGGCCAGACTCAGCCCACTTATTTTTCCTTAGTGCTTTCGGTAACTGGGTTTGGTTCTTTATCTTAGTGCTTTTGGTAACCGGGTTTGGTTCTTTAAAGGATTTGAAACCACAGACAGAGGAATACTTCTTTTTAGGGTCAAACAAAGATTTTTATTTTTCTATTTACTCTATTATTAATTTTTCATTTAAATCGACTCACTAGCTTTGATTCTTTTAAGACAGTGTAAGATACAAATAAAAAGTAGAAAAACAGTACAGTTAAAAAACAAGAAAAAATAACTCCTCCTACAGATGTACCCCTCAGATTTACCTTTAAAAAATTTGTGGAGTTATCAAATATATAATACTCACGTTAAGAAAGATAGAGGCATTGTTTAGAGTCAGGAGATATTCTTTTCTTTATGTTTCTCCTTTTTTTTTGATTTTTCGTTGCAACTTACAACCGGTGTTATTCCTCTTTCGGAGCTTATGTGCGGCAGCGAGATTTAGCGCCGGGGAGGGATCCCTGGTTGATCAGACCTATCTTTTTGGATTTGCAACCTGTATGCTCTTGGTCTGTTCTGTCCAACCTTATATACCCTGTTTCGGTTTCGGTATTCCTCCACTCGCCTGACAATTGCTGATGTTAGATTTTTGTTGTCTCATTCTGCCCTTTCAAAACTTTCATCTGCTCCATGTGGGGTAATCAGCACTTTGTTGCATATTGCAGTCTGAGTTACTTACTTCCCTAAAGTTGGTTTTTTTAATCTTACATCTCCTGTATCTCACAATGCTGCCTTTCCTTTACACTTACAATTAAACTGGTGCTCATTTGACATATTCTGGGAAGGCCTCAACACATCCCTTTCACAAGTGCTTTTTAATGCAAACAGATTCAAACCACAGTAAGGAAATGATACAGGGGCATGGTGGCCCATGCAAGGAACCAGAAAGCTCTAAGTGAGAAGGCCAATTTCTGATACCCTCCTTTATGTGGGCC